CGCTGACACTGTACCAATAACTTGCTTCAAGCCCCTATCTTTATCTCTATGAACATTTGCATAGTATGATGAGTTGGAACTATTGACATCATTTTTTTCTGATACAGAAGAACTATTGGAAGCTAATGAAGAAGGGTTATACTCATTAGGATTACGGTTAGGTTTCCTGGGAAATTCATTGTAAACATACCGGTTCTTCCACATCAAAGGTACTGGGGGGCGACCAGCAAAATTGTTTTCTTTAGTACTATGAAGTTCGGGAGCCTTATTTTCCACAGGTTTGTTATGTACAGCAGTCTTGCCCGTTCCTTTTATCAGGAATGGGTTAAGATCTGCAAAGAGATTCCCAGAGTCATCTGGACCATTCTGACCATATGGTACAACATTGACATTCAGTCTAGTCCCATCACCAATAGCATTCATCCCTCGAGTTCCCTTGTACAGAGAACTACTGGCTGATGGAAGAAAATTGTCCACTTGGGTAGAAGTAGCTTTACTAGGAACTTTGGAAGGACCAATGCCAGTTTCTCCACCCAAACTCAAGTTTGGAGACATATAATCAGGCTTCACAAAATATGGTCTTACATTCGATAATGATGAATCACTTCTGATCGCAGAACTTTGACTACTGCCTTCACCATCAGATGGCATAGGCCTTGAGTAAGGAAATCTACTTTCATTTGTGGATTGTAAGGTTGGAAAATTCTTGGGATTGTATGGCTTAAATGAAGGGTCATTAGGATTAAAAATATCAGTCGGAATAAGTGTACCAGGAGCAGCCATAAGATCAACCAAAAACTCCCTGTAAGCAGAAAAGGACGTTTCAGTGCCACAGAGAACGAGATCAACTGCAGAAACAGCAATATATATTAAAGATAGACAACAGCACATCATGAAATAACAGCACAGACATTTGTTCATGTGCATGGAAAACAAGAACAGTAAATAGACTTAGAAATCAAAGAATAACAAACATTATGACCTTTCATCCTCCAACTTTATAATGTTGACAGCATCATCCTCAACACCAGTGTAATGACTACCTTTTACCAGTCTACAAGGCATCTTGATCTTGTCAGACAATACCTACATGCACAAAAACAAGTTGCATCATGCAGCCAACAAGTCAAAACGTGGGGTGTTCAAAGGACTAAGCGAACAACCAAAGATCTTGGTAGTATTAATAGGGAACCTTAATATAATCATCTAGGACCCAAGAACATAAAATAATTCAAAAGATTTATTCTCCAAATGCTAGAACAAAAATAGTTTTACCAGAAAAAATAACGAGCTTACCTGACCTATAATTTGATTATTCAAGCAAACTTTATGTGGCAGAACTTTCTCAATGGGGCCTACCAGAGTAAACTTTACTGAATGTGACCATTCTAGTCCAGATTAATAACATAATTTTTTTTTTATCAATTCCATTATTAGTTTATTTTACAAACTGTTTAAAGTAAATCGAAAAGCAATCAGAAATCATCTTCAATAAATTTCAATAATATACAAACATCTAGAATAGTAAATCACCGCATATCAAATTATGGCTCAAGAGAATTCAATCACAAACAGCCAAAATGCTGACCTTGAAAAGCAAAGCACGATGCCTGGATAGGCCAATATTTATGGACCCTATAGGTAATACACTTGTGTGAAGAGATGTCCGTAGCTCAGTACTTCTTTCGGTCCATCTTGCTAATATAATATTAGCATCCTTTACAGGGCCACCCATATGCCCTGTAACAAGTTCAGCCAGTCTTTGCACCAAAACACCAACATCAGTGACAGGACAATCTAATGCTACACACTGTGCAATTTGCACCAACTCTTCCAGGGCAGGATCAATTGCCTGATTCACTATGACAACTTCAAAACTTGAATTTCCCGCATTTGCTTCAAGGTCTTCCAGAGAGGGCATCTTTCCTTGCATTGATGAATCAGTGGAAAGACCATACACATCATAAAAACCATCAACTACTTTCTCCTCATAGTCAAGCACATTGTATTCCTGATCAAGAGAAAGATGCATGACAACCCAAATGAGTATATGGAGAGGGGGCACCAATGGCGACAGATACAAGTAGCAAGCATTCTAGGCTCACCCATTACACATTTTAGCCAATTCAGTCAACAGTACTACATGGAGAATTCAATTCTAAGTTCACTTACACTAGCACAACAACGTTAGCTTGTTGGGTAACACTACAATTTCAGAATTTTAAAAGGCTGGAACGAAAAAGTATATCAATTTTCTGACTTTTCACAGTTCTGTCAGCTTTCTTTCTTTCTTTCTGGCCTAAATAATACATTCAGCTTTCTGGATGCACCGAATGGTCAACATACAATCCGTAATCCGCAGTTCACACTAATCGCCAGCCTTACACTCACTAAATACGGAAATGTAAGCTACACTAGACAGCTCACTACATAAGAACACGATCATAGGATTCAAAAACCCTAATTAACATCAATACAAAATCATTCAGCATAAACCCTTAATTCATGCCATCATTTCAGTTACCAAAATTGAATTTTCGTGACCAGAACCGAACTTACCCAGTACTGTCTGGACAGCGCCTTCGCCACATCATCATGATTCCTTGCTGTATCAATTCGATGGCCTCCCAGGCTCAGTAGCGTCGCCGCTCGGATCTGATCCTTCTCAGGATCATCCCGAAAATCAGACTTGGAGGCGCTGATGGCTAGGGCAAGCTGAACCTGATACTCCTCCTCCGACGAAAAATAGTCTTGTCGATTGGGCGTAGCTGGTGGGGGTTGGGAAGCACCGGCCGCTGCCGTAGAGGGAGACAATGAAGGGGGACTAGCCGGAGACAGGGCAGAGTTTTGAAGGGGTGCAGTACGTTGATCGGAGGCACCAGAAGGAGATGTGACAGAAGCCGGTGTTTCATTGGATCGATTAGGGTCGTGATTGCTCCCTTTGTGAAGCTTCTTGAAAATGTTCTTCATTTTGCCTCAGAATTCTCTCCCTCACTCAACGGTCAAATGAGCCACTTCCACTCACTGTGCCTTCGGTTTAGTAATTCATTTGGAACTCTCGCCGCTTCCGTATTCGTTCTTAATTTTGTTTATTCTGGCCTCTCGGAAAAGATGAGTCAAGGCTCAGACTAGAGAGGAAACTATGCATGGAGGGAAAAGGGAAGACTTAACGCGGTAGAACAAGCGTGGGCATCTAATCAAAAGGGTCGTATATCTCCTCGGAATTACGGAAATGGCATTCTCAGATAGATACAGCGCGAAATGAACCCACCAGCTACATTTTGCCACGGTAATTTGTGGGTCCATTTAGGAGTACGGGGATGACGATGTCCACGTCATACGAGCGGTTTATATCCCATTTTTTTGAATTCCTATTTGAGAAAATTAAAAAAAAAAAAAACTAAACATTTGTAAATGTCAAATAAAACATGTTATCCTTTGCAAATTCAATATTACGAATACCAAACGAATTGTTGTCACCAAGCTTGATTCAAAATTTAGTAATTTTTATTTTTTTTAATCATCCTCCTTTCCTATTTTGGACAGAGTGTAAGTTTATATTCGGGCACGACCCAAATTTTCACTTGCTACTGAATAGCAACATTTTGCTTGAGTTGGCCCAAAAAAAAAAACATCTTGCTTCTTGGGAAAAAAGATTGGAGTGGGTTACATTAAGCGTCACAACGAAGTTTCACATGTCAAGCCCAAAAAAAAAAATACAGTGATATGTTTAAATGGAGCATCTATGAACTTTATAATATTTACATAATATTTTTCTGATAATTTTTTATGCCTGAATATTTTTCTGATAATTAAACATTAATTTTAGCGCTCAGCACGGATGACCTGTTCTGATAAAGAAAGGAGAAACTAAAAAATATACAGGCAAAAATGATAAATAAGTCGTATTTCACGCGGTCCAATTTTTTTAGCAGGCAAGCATGAATTGATGGAATGGGACAAGAAGATATAAAACCTTCCTACAAGCAAACGCTGGCCTCCCCAACGTTCCCAGAAGAGTGGCCAGTCAACATTTAAAAAACAAACACGCACGCGCTGACCTGACACACACCGACCAAAAAAAGTACAAATCCGGAATCCGATGCGTCTCGTGCTTATTCCGGCCAGAAGAAAATATGCATCCATCGTAACAGCGGGATGACACACGAAACAATTCTCGAAGTCCGCGTTCTTTCCACTCCTTTGGCTTAACCAATGACCAGTTAAATAAGTTTTATATTAAGAACCAGACGAGTATAACATATAGTTTTGCACTGTAGACCATATCTACCCAGTTTATATGATTCTGTGAAATAAAAATGAGAGCCTCTCGTCTATACATATGCTGATAGTCACTTCATATCACATTGATCATCACTTCCGCTTCAAGATTATCTAATTTACAGCGGCAATGTCAGATCCAAACTGAATTTTCACGGCACTAGACAGATAGGTATGAAGCTATATTCATTATGTCACTGACTTGTCACCTGGCCTCCATGTTTATCCGGGACAAAAGATTCAATAAGTCCGCGGAAGCTAAAATCTCTCCAAAAAGACTTGAGTGTATAATATAATTGACGATACAAAACCTTTGATGTACTAAGTGGGGAAAAAATGATCATTTGATATTTATATTTTGACTTGCATTGCAACTCAATCATTGAATTTGCCGTGGCCAGAAAAAAAAAAATCAGCCATTGATTTTAAACTAAACTAAACACTAATTCAATGCAATTCAATCTAAAAATAACTTTGGCCTAAAAGACAGCAGCCAACAGTGTAATAAATGTTTGGAATAATAACAACAGGGTTGTGCTAAATTAAATTTTACAAAATTAAAGTTTAAAGACTGAGTTTAGATAAGTGAATATTATAGGTACGGAACGATATTTAGTTTTTCTCTCTAAAATATTATTCGAGTTACAAGATGCTAACAAATCCTCAACCAGAGAGCAACAAGTGGAAATTAAAATTGATTAGCTGGGGTGATTTGTGTGTCAGAGCAGTTGCAACCAGAGAGCAGCACTAGGTGTACCGGCATGCACAACGAACATGAGATAGAAACCCGGCGGTGCAATCTGAGGAGAGGATGGACCTACCACTGTCGTGTAATATGTATCCCATCCCGTACGTGCCACCACCAGGAGATTCAACACCACCATCCTTTGATTCATCGCAAATGAGTGCGTCGTAAAGGAAGGAGCCGCCAGCCTCACTGAAACTTCACTTGCTGAGACGTAATAGCTCACCCGGAATGTTATATGACACAGCACCATATACCCTAGGCCGTCGTTGCACGTCGTGTACAAAATCGTTGGCCGCATCAGGTCAAACTCCGGCGACAAATACGGCGGTGAAAAAGCCTCTAAGCTAAGCTCCGTCGGGAACTCGACCCCACTGAAACTGTAGTTCATGTGAGGGTTGCTACCTCCTACCAGCACTCTTCCATCCGGTAACAATACTGCCGATGAATGGTAAACTCTAGGCTTCGACGCAGCTGACATCACCCTAAACCGCAACCCCGAGTCCTCCTCCAAAGGCCGATATATGACCGGAGAAAGTACGGCCCCACGGCCATGCTCCCACCCGGCGGTGCCGAGCCCTGCGCCGTTGATGATAATGACGTCGCCGGTTGGGAGGAGTAACATGTCGCCCAGTACCCTGGGCATTGGCATGGTCTCCATCACCCAATTTGGGTTCGGATCAGTGACCTTGAGGCGTCCACATGTGGAGAGAGCCTGTATGAAGTTCCCCTGCCGGGCTTCGTCGAACGAAGCTCGTGGTGCGCCCCCACAAATCATGATTTCAGCTTCAACACTTGGTTTATTATCGTTTAATGGGAGAAGTACCGAGGAGCCCGTGCTTGGATAGTTTCGAGGATCCTCACCTGGGATGCGAGGAAATTCTTTGAGGACAAGGTTTCGGTCATAGTCAAACAATATGGAACGGGTATTGGCGAAAATAAAAAGGTTTCCGTCGGGTAAAAGGTGCAAGAAAGGGTACAGGTTATTTTCATTGGAATCAGTAGTCTGTTGGAGGAAAGGAAGAAAGAAATTAGCTTGTGTTGATGAGGAAGAATCTTGGGTGGGGTTTCTAGGATAGAATTCGTAGTTGAATTGTCTTCTACCCCCAACCACAATGATGCGACCATCAGGTAGTATTTGATTAGTCGCGTACCATCTTCGCCTCAACAAGTAATCTGGAAATTCGACCCAATCGCAGGTCTGGTCGTGGCAAGAGGTGAACATGCGAATGCGAAGCTGACCATCGTTGTACCCACCGGTCTGGACGAGGGTACCGTTGGGGAGAACAGAACCAGAGGAACACCAAGTGTCTGTTTGAACCATCAACGGTCGGAAGGTGTTGGTGGGAATGTCGTAAAGGACAGAGTGAGCGGTGCAATCAACAGTGAGAGCAGTGTCTGAGGGATCCGTCCGGCAACGACCGTCGGGAAGGGAGACGTTGGAGGGGCCAAAATCTGTACGGTCAAACATGATAACTTTGTCGTATCTTAGAAGCTGCATGTGCATGGCTGATATGCCAATGCTGGCCTGCAAGAACTGCCATGCTCCTTCGTTGCTGAAGTTAGGGGGCACGAACTGAGATGTGACTTGTGCCTGAAAATTAGGAGACGAAGCGATCACGAAGAGGATTAGGATCGCCGTGCGCGTAAGACTCATGTTGTGGGCGGTCATCGTAGCCGAGGGAGAAGGAGAGGCGTAGGAGGAATGTAGGTGAGTAATTGGCAGTGAGAGAGTTGGTGTGGCCCCGGCAAGTGGCGGGTACGGTACGAGGTCATATTAGGGAAATTAACAGAGATTAATGAGTGTGTCTTTGTGATGGAAGAGGGACTTGGCAGCTAAACCGGCCCCGTTCAAGAGTGCACATGTTTAAGATCAAGAAGCATGGGTATGTATATGTGAAGCTGGCATATACATCTTCAATTACTGGTTTAAGAATCACGTTCTGCACATTTCCCAGAGGATCTCGCCCGTCTTTATTATATACGTACTTATTTATTTTCCTCAACATTTATTGAGCCCTTTAAAATAATTTTTCAATAACGTTCAATCCGTATTTTTTGATTTCTACAACTATGCTTGAAATTGAACTAAAACGTTAATTACATTTTCTTTCCGAGACGAGCATAGACACATGTATGCACAATTGATCTACGCCGCAGAAAAGCTATGATCGTAGTTTGTCGTCGTGTTTACATGGAATATTTTTTATTTTCTCCTTTATCTAATATGTAAACGCAATGGTGGTGCTTAATTAAAAATCTGATATGTTTATATAGTTATTCTTAAAAAAGATCGGTGACTGGTGCTTGTTCCCTCTTGATGTGAAAAACAAAACAAGGGCTGAGCCATAAAACACGTTATATTGGTGGTCAAGTATGTCCGAGTTCTTACATCCCACCGTAATTATCTCTATCAAATTTCTGCCGCTGCATGTATAATAACTCTCCTCTCTCTATAGCCGCAGTGCTGCCAAAAACAAAAAGAGAAGAAGAAGAAGAAAGAAACATCCAATTATTTTATATCATCAATTAAGATTTGAGATCAGAGATGAGTCAAGAGCAGCCGCGGAGGCCGCTGCAGGTGGAACCCATCAAGTATGGGGATTTATTCGAAGTACAGGGGGAGCTGGCAACCATGCCGGTGACGCCGAAAGATGCGGCCATGATGCAGTCGGCGGAGAATGCCATGTTGGGTAAGACCCTCAGGGGCGGCGCCGCTGCCGTCATGCAGTCGGCCGCCATGAAGAACGAGAAGGCCGGCCATGTTGGACACAAAGATATGACCACTTCTGCCGCCAATCTCGGCGTTAGCGTAACCGAGACTGATCTTGAAGGGAAGCGCGTCATCGTGGAGTCTTTCGGCGGACAGGTTTCGTCCCCATTGCCACTCTCAGTTTCTTCCGTCTTCTTTCAGATGCATTTGCCTTTTTCTCAATCACAGAGTATCATTTGCTCCATCAGGTTATCCAAAAACTAGAAGGAAACGCAAGGAAAATCCATAAATTGGTTGAGGTACTTCCTCTTTTCCTAACCCGTTTGATGATAATACATACCTTTAATTTGACGGCTAATGTTTCGTTTTATTTGACGGTTTTTTCAAGTGAATTAAACAGATCAAGATCTAAAACTTGGGGCTAAATTTTTCAGAATGCCATCATTAGGAACATGATGGACTCTTAAATCTGTTCAAAAACAAGAATAAGCTGGCTTTCAGATCAAAATAATTTCGAGGAAACAGGCAGCCTTAGATTTTTGTGGACCCTCCTGAAATCCAATTTATATCATCTGATTATGGAGGAAGACAATACGAGCAAGTTTAACAACGCATATATATAATCGCATATTTGTGCAACAAGCATCAAAACAAAGAATTTCGGTTCAGTAGTGAAACCATTCTAATCAAGTGTTAAAGATTCGAGCTGAAATTAATAGAGGTTCGAGGGAAAAAATTATCATATCAATACTGAATACAATTAAAAATTTTAAAAATTATTTTCAAATTTTATTCAAGCAATAGACGCAAAATTTATATATGGAAAATTGGAAATTGAGGTGCTGTCTATTATAGCCTATACGATTATTAGCATATAACTGTGCGTATAGTAATTTTGATGATCGGATATTTTGATGTTGGGAAAAGGTAGTAGAGCACTATAATAAAAAAGTAACGATGCAGACGGTGACGCCACCTTCTCAGCCGCAACAAGATGCTCCAGTTGGGCTTGGAGGCTGCGGGGGAATTACTATCGGAGAAGCGCTGGAAGCTACGGCTGTCACCGCCGGTAACAAGCCTGTGGAGTGGAGTGACGCCGCCGCAATTCAGGCAGCCGAAGTGAGGGCCACAGGCCGTACCAACATTGTCCCCGGCGGTGTTGCTGCTGCCGCTCAGTCTGCGGCCACCCTCAATGCCCGCCTCACAAACAACGCCGAAAAGACCACACTCGCTGATATTCTTACTGTAAATGATCATCTCTTACTTTCTGACGATCCTGTTCGCTGCGGACGGGCAAACTAATTACGTTTATAATTTGATAAATTGATTGCAGGATGCGACTTCAAAGCTGCCGTCAGACAAAGTGGCGACGAGGAAAGATGCGGAAGGGGTAACCGGAGCAGAGATGAGAAATAACCCTAACCTTGCCATTCATCCCGCCGGCGTGTCCGTGTCCGTCACTGCGGCAGCTAGGCTTAACCAAATTCATAATTAGCTAAGCTACTCTATTCTAAGTGTACATAACATTGCTTAATTGGGTTTCTTTTTCCTTTAGTTACGTAGCAAACTGAAGATCAATCTCCGGGAACCATTCGGTATTCGCTGATCCAGCAAAGTTCCAGAAACGAACCTTCCAATTAACAGCGTCTAAAACCATACGCTGAAGGAATACTTATATTTTGTATAAATAAATAATAAAGTAACCACGACAAGATGACCATTGTAAAACAACGTTTGTGTTTTTTCGACAATAGATGCCAGTGCCATATATAATTAGCAGATTAAAAGTTTATTTTTATCATCAAAATATATTACTTATCTAGTCCTAAATATAAAATCTCACTATATGTAAGGGTCAAGTACTGGAAAATCTAAAGGTAATGCCATGTGATAAGCTTGATATCCAAATCAAGCTGGGCACACTTACTTGCCATGCGCAATTCTAAATTCCACTAGCATTATTACAGTTTTGAATTCGGGATTTTGACAGAGATGGTAAAGTGAGTTGGTCTGCCGACTATGGACCAGTCCGTCACGGGCTAAGATTGCCTCCTGACAAGCTAAAATTGAGCCAACAAATTGGAGCTCTCACAAGTCGGTTCTAAAAGGACCGTCCCTTTTTTGGCTGGACCGTCCCTTGACAAGCTAAAATTTAGCTAGCCCGCCTCACCAAGAGGTGGGTTGGTCCACCAATCTTCATTTTTTTGACATTTATATATATACTTAAATTTTTAAATTAAATTACAAACTTTTACAAACTAATTTTTTATTTTTATATTTTCATATAATTATATAATTAAATTAATCTCAAAAATTAAAATATAAACATAATTTATTTTTAATAATTATTTAATTGATATAAAAATAATAAAAACAATAAAGAAATGAGAAATTAAATTTAGAATCAAAGTTTCCAACAAAATACAAAACTATATTTAAATTGAGTGAAAATAATAAGAACCTTTTCTTTTTAAAATAAAAATAAAATAATAAAAAGTACACTAGCTTGTGAATTAGTTGGTTGAAAAGAATTACATTAAAATAAGCCTATATTTACCCGAATACTCCTGGCCTAGTGGTGACTGGCTAAGTCACAAGGGAGGCGAGTCTTTGCTCTTTGAGGGCAGGGGTTCGAATCCTCACTTGTTAAAAAAGGTACAGGGGAGGGCTCTCCTTGTCGCACGGCCTGAATCCAGACTAGTCGATCGCTCGAGTACCTAATCCAAAAAGAAGCTAGGGCTTAGAAAAAGCGCGGTTGGATACCGGGTGGTTCTTACAAAAAAAAAAAGCCTATATTTTGCCAAACCAATCCCCCCAATTTTGACTGGCTGATGAGTTAAACCAGCTAGATCAACTCATATCACAACTCTGGATTTTTGACCTTATTACTCAAATGTCATTGTTCAACCTCATGTCCAATGGATTCAAGTAATGCCACCGAGAGGTAACGCTCACCAAAACTAGGAAATACCACCTGAGAAGTAAGGATTGGTTTTTGCAGTATTTTAAGGGAGAGTTACAACGAAGTCTCAAGAAAGAAAAATAATAACTAAAAAACTCATAATAACAATCTAAATAGTTTGTAATGACAAGTTTTAGAGTAGAAAATGAGAACTTTTAAAACTTAGTTATGGTTATTTTTCTGACCTTATTGTAATTCTTTTTTTTATTTTCAAATTAACCATCTGAGTACCATATGCAGCTATAAATTCTTATCATGCTCTTGGAACATTAACAAAGAGCAAAATACTAGTTATCTTATAATTTCTGTCCAATAAATCAAACAGAACTTTCCTGCATTTTCCCGTCCCTTCCCTAACCCTATTGCAGCTGCGGCGGCGGCTCCAGATGAAACCCCCGTCTGAAGAACCAGCCACCATTTTCCCTCTTGATAATTCAATTTTGATCTGTTTCTGTTGGTCATAAATTTTTTTAATATTTAATTATTTTTGCACAAAAATATAAATAAGTCCAAGCTTTTCATTTAAAAACTTTAATCCAGCCCGACAATCTCAATCACGCCGCTTTCGGGTCTTTTTAACGTACAACTTATGCTTAGGCATGAGTTCACGACAGTTATTGCGAACCAACTATGATTTGTCCTGGACCGTCAATTGGTACAAGACCCTCCCATTATTGAGTTTCCCAAAATCTAAAAATGACCTGGAACCAATTCTTAAACTCCCGTGATAATGATGGATCAAGGAACTAGTGGCACTTGAATAAACTGGGACGTGACAGGCAAAGAAAACTAGTTTCTTGGAAACATAACAATATCAAATAGTCATATGCGCGTTCCATTAATCATAAATACACGCTGCTGGTATTTATTGAACAGTAGCAAATTTACATGCAACAGCAAACTAGACAAGGAACCCAGCCAGAGGACAAGCTACAATATTCATAATAAAGAACCGAGCTGCATCCCAGTATCAACAAACAGAAATTCAAAGGGCAAAATTATAACTCGTAAACCAATAGCAGGCCTCCCAAAATCCAAGCAGCAAGGATCAGAAAACCTTTTCTTAAGCTCATTTCTCAAAAGCCATGTTCTCTGCTTCCCGCTTCACAGACTCAAAAAGCACGGATGATAGATAACGCTCTCCAAAACTTGGGAACACCGCCTGGACAGGTTTTCGGTCAGTAAATTGACATTGCAACCAAAGCATTTCTTATAACAGCAACCACAGAGGAGCATCTAATAAGATATAAGCCAACCACAAACTTACAACAATGAGTTTTCCGGCATTTTCTGGCCTCTTGGCAATCTTCAAGGCAGCAGCGGCAGCAGCACCTGATGATATCCCCACCTGCCAAAAAAGCAATTTTTCTTGATCGCCTTCAAAACACAACACCTGAAAATCCTATTTGAGATGTATCTTTTCAATGAACTTACCAATAAGCCCTCTTTCAATGCAAGAAGTTTAGCAGTTTCAATAGCTTCTTCACTTGATATCTGCAAAAGCAGACAAAATTAAGTGATCAGCATATGGAATGTGGATTCAGACTAAAGAAATGCGTAAGAAACTCATAAGGAGAATAAAGAGAAAGATAATCACAAGAAAAAGGCATTATCCCTCCTTTTTATTTTTCGGAGAAAGACTAAAGAGACAAATTGACAGATCCAGAGCCAATACTACTTATCAAAGCTCCTGTTTAGCAACATCCCTACATATGAATCAAATTATTGCCCCCACTCCCAAGGATGAAGTGGGAAGTACAGATCTTTTTTCTTGTTTAAAGAAAGCAAATCTTTAATTAATTGTTTATTTTCTCATGAAGTAGTGGGGATTGGGGTGGGGGAGATAATAGGATAGAATAGTGCATACAGCAACGTGTTACTCACAGAGGACACAGTACAACAGTAACAAATCTATGAATCAATTTAAAATTCATAAAACCAATCAAAACTTTAATGGCTCACTTGGATAACTTCGTCCAGCATATTAACATCCAAAACACCAGGGATGAAGCCAGCACCAATTCCCTGGATCTTATGTGGGCCTTACACATCAGCAACCATACATTCCTCAGTAAGAATGAACGATTTACACAAATGTGGGTAGGCACGTCATAAATATTAATGCAGCCATAATAACTTATGTAGAAAAACAGATGCTAAAGATACGACTATTTTACATTTCATCGGGAGGATGCAGAGGGGCATGGACAAGGTAGATGTTGAAGTGTCATTTTGATCTCCGAACAAATTCAGAGATAAATAACACATCACATGCATGTATTTACATGTTTTCATAATACATATGCATTCATGGTAAGAAACATATTTGCACGTGGTGATTAAAGAAAATCACCCACACAGTTGCCGTAGTACAAAACCGGTATGAGAATGAAACTAAGAACATTAGCAACCCATATGAGAAACATTGACTACATTACATTCGATTGACACATAAGACAATTTAGGCTGGGGGTATGCAACAAGAGTCTCTGAAACCTGGGGACAGCAGAAATCGGTAATGGATAAAAGAACACCAGGTACTTCAACTAACAGGCCATTTTGGAGTCCCCAGGGGGGATGCAACTAAGGTCCCTTGAACCCAAAGGTAGCAGAAATCCCAGAAGATAAAAGAACACGCGGTACCTCAATCAAGCTATAAGGTCCCAGAGCAATGAGTTCTCATCCAAGCAAACAACTTCTATGCAGCACAATCAAATGTTTAAATTGAATAGCATAAATAACATTTAACTAACTAAGGTTAAATTCAAGAAGAAATGAGATTTCTGGAGCACCACATGAAACCAAGTTTACTAGTCAGGAAGAGATTTACATATTCCACTTTCCACATCATACCGACTGCACCACCGGCCTCAACAGGCAATTGGTAAAGCATATACATGAATCAAATGATGAGAGAATATAATGAGAAAAATCAGGACTCACCAGGTTTACCCCCAGACAGCACTGGACTTTCAACTGGTTCGATGCCATATAGCTAAGTAACATTTAAAAAAATAATAATAATAATAATAAGGAAAAACCAACAAAAAGATTAGGCTTTTGGATATTCATATAGCAAAAAACACAAAAAATCAGAAAAGTGAATTCCTACCTTAACATTAGGATTCTGCTCTTTCAAATATCTCCCAGCACCTGTTACTGTTCCTCCTGTCCCTATCCCCGAAACAAGAGCATCGACTTTTCCACCAGAGCCCTTCCAGATCTCTGGTCCAGTAGTCTCATAATGGATCTAAGAAAGTGTGCGAGTGTGTGTAACAATTGCATTATTTTTTTGGATCAACTTATGCCCCATGAAAAGAACATGACAGAGTTAATACCTTTGGGTTGGCAGGATTTTCAAACTGCTGAAGCATATAAGCATTGGGAGTCTTTGTCAGTATTTCTTCTGCCTTCTGAACAGCTCCTTTCATACCCTTGGCTGGATCTGTGAGAACTAACTCAGCCCCAAAAGCTCGAAGAATCGTTCTTCTTTCTAGACTCATTGAAGAAGGCATGGTTATAATAAGTTTATAACCCTTAGCGGCAGCCATGAATGCCAGACCTATGCCAGTGTTTCCGCTAGTAGGCTCAATCAGAACACTCTGCATCATAAGCAACATTAAATTTTGTGATGTCATCACTAATCATGTTCTGCATTTTATTGACCAAAATATACAAACTTTCCGTGCAATTGTCACAAAGTAACAAGCTTGTCAGTAAAATCAATCCCATTTTATGAATCTAGAATCAGCAATAGATCCGAGTTATACGACTTATTTTGTGGTTGAGAGAGAGAGAGTGAGAGAGACTTCCAGCAGATTTCTTTTATGTTGATCAGCAAATTGCAATCACTTTTAAAAATTCAAAAGCAATATAGTATCAATGTCAGCAAGAAAATATTTATACAAGCAGAACAATCTCATTGGTGAGTAATGAGGAAGGAACCTTTAAAACATATGATGTATGACATAACAAGATGCACAACAAGAATTCCATATAAGGACAATAACTAAAACAAAAACTAACTTCACCCGGTGTAATGAGTCCCTTCTCCTCAGCATCTGCAATCATGCTATATCCTATCCTGCAGCAAAGGAAAGAAATATATATATGTGTGTATGTATGTATATATATCCTAATAACAGAAACTTTTATTGCACGAAATAGATTAGAGCCTTGGCCTACGATACTGCAACATCTATTTCAAAGTTATAGACTGCGTGATGTCAAGTGAATGGATCTTCCAACAAACTATCAACTTAAGCTATTAAGATGGGTATATGAACAAAAGCCTTTAAGTAAAAATTAATGGAAAAATTGTAAGATGACATTTTACTGGTTTTCTTCCAAATAGGCCATTAAAGAGACCTATATACCTGTCTTTGACACTCGAGCAAGGTTCCATCATCTCCAGCTTTGCAGCAATTCGGGCAACGCAACCATCTACAATATGGTTGAGATATACCAACGGAGTTTTTCCAATCAACTGTACATCTCGAAAATGAGGTTATATCTACCGAAAGCTATAATAATTCAGCACGTGGACAGGGAAAAGAAAAAAGGATGTACATGACTTACTTCAGTGACATCTTTTGCGATGGCTGCCTTCTCTTGTGCCATTTTTAGCAAAATACTGCAAAATCAAAAAGAGAAGGATAAGTCAATAAACAAATAGGTGCAAGATCTCGAAAATAAAGCAAACAGGACTTGGATTAGCTGAATTGATTGGAAGCAGTACCGAGACTCCCCCTTAATATTTTCATTCATCAATTGGGGGGGGGGGGGAGATCGTGACAGCGTACAGTAAGAGGTGGGGGGAACTGAAACACCTTAACCGTTCAGCTATTATTGATCCGACAAAAACATCGCAGTTACAATCTTAAAAATAAATAAGTAAATTACAATTTACAAGCCAAAAGTAGCGAAATCCCAGTTCCAGCGCCTTGAATCAATCTAAATTTAATTGGCGGGAAAATTATATAGCAAAAATTCAAAGGAAAACCGAAAAATAGAGCACCAGAAATTAACTCTAGAGTTGGCACGAAGAATCGAAAGGGGAAAACATTACATATCAATGAGTCAATCCGCAGAGAAAAGACTGAAACTGGCATTTAGAAAGGCCGCTGTAATATATTTATATATGTGGTTAGGAAGAATAATGGAACACAGACTTAACCCATAGAAAGGAAATATATCAACCAACCAGGAAGATTCAAGATCTGTAAGCACGGAAAGCTGGAGGCATGACAAAACAGGAAAGAGAGCGCGGCAATTTTCCCAAAAGAATAATCAGGTTAAGGAAAACCGCTCGAAGAAATTAAAGCAGGGAGATGGGATTGGAGAAGTTGAATAGCTCACCGGTAGAATCTTGTTCAGAAATGAATGTCAATCACAGAAGGTTGACACTGGACTGGCACTCTTCCAGACGCAAGGGACGACAGACGCTAGGAGAAAGACCTGGCGGTTCTTACTCAATGAAAATTGATATTTGAGGACGATTACCAATTTGTTTTTCATTTTGAAAAATAAATGTTATCTGTGCGGGCAAAATGCGGCTGGCATCATTGCGGCGGCCGGAGAGCCATCATTTGTCACTATTTATTTTTAGTGTTTTACTCCTCAATTAAAAATTTATTAAAATAAAAAAATAATTAAATTATAAATTCATGCCAACAAAAAAAAAAGAACACGATTTTAATTTGAAAACTTAACATAATGAATAAAAAAACCTTGATATAAGTATTTTTAGAATTAAAAAACAGAATTAGGATCATTTTTATTTTATAAAATTTGAATTTATTTTAGTTTTGGTTTTTAAAATTTAAAATAAATTATTTTTGTCTCTATTTTAACCTCATTTTAATTTTGATTTCTAAATTTAAGTCTTTAAAATCTAACATTATGTTGGTTTTAAGTTTTACTTCAGAGGTTTAGAATACTATTTTAAGACAAAACAATTTTTAGTCAAACTAAAATGGGTCTTATTAGCACTAAGTAAATATGAAAGTTGGGTTTGGTTTTAGGGTAGAGGGTAACTGAGAAAAGAGTTTTTTAAGCTCCTTGAGTCGGCATTATTAGACCCGTGGTGGTGGCCGCGGGTAGTGGCATTTTTATCACTTTAAAAATTATTTCTTGCCTTTTTTTGACATTTTTAAAGTTGAAAAGGTGTGATTACCTATCTTCAAAAGGTGAAAATGACCTATCTTCGAAAGCCCTCAACGCCACCTTCCTCTCACTTCGGATACGCGAACAAAGTCGAATATTTTGGTCTCAGAAAAGAAAAAAGTTATGATAAAATTTTTAAGAAATAATTATAAAATAAATCTTAAAATTTATCATTTTTTATTATAAAATTTTTATTACAGGCTAAATTTTTTTAATAATTATGTTTTTTAGATTTTGTTATAATTTTTTTAAAAAAATACAGAGTCGAATTATGGGAGCCAGGTGGCTTCTAGTTATGTTCGCTGGCCCACCTGCTTTTGATGGGAAAAATGACAGAGGGACAGAGGAAAAGATTTCCAATCAAATGCGGAAAAATGTTCTGACTGAGAAACAAGAGGCGCAAAAGGCGGGCGCGGGCCAAATCAGCCATCGGATCATACATGAACGTGCACACCGCTAAGATATCGCCGCATATTATAAATATAAACTCCTCAACTCTTACTTTTTATAATTTAATTACAATAATTTGGTTTTAAAATAAATAAATAAATATGCTTATTGGTTGTCACGCCAAGCATGCCAATACTCCCCGTAGAATTTATCAGCGTCCTTCCTCAGAATTTAGAAATTAGAGGTACTTTGATTGTTCATTTATATTGATCGGATTTTATCAACTCGACGTCCGCGCAGCCTCGCAGTATTTAAAAAAAAAAAAAACTGTTCTGTGAATTATATTTTTGTCGGATATATTGATTGTTCGTTTGTTTATATGAATTAAATTTTTTATAGATCATGACTGGTATAATTTACTTTTTCGCATTGTATTTAATCGGAATATGCACATCTAAAGTACTCATCTGATTCTATTTAAGAATTACTCTTGTCATATTTCACACAGATCAATAAAAATTTTAAATCTCATTAACTCTCATTTAAAATTTAATAACTTTTTAATTTTATCTTTGTTTAATATATATATTATACTTCATGTAAATAAAATCAATACAATAATAAATTAGAGTAAAATTGTATATCTATACAAAAAAAATTTCAATATTCTATAAATAGAATCAAAAAATAGTTTTTCTATCTGTCCTATAAATAAAAACAGAGGAGCATGTTTTATTAATTAAATATAAGAAATATAAATTAAAGTCCACAAATGAATATATATAACTCGGACAAGTTTTCTGGCACAAAAAAAAAACCAGCGCAGGTGACAAAAAAACTGTTTATAGAGTTTTCTTTGCCAACAAAAATATTTGCAGGGTGTATGACTTGGAGAGGACGTCGATATTATTGTGCTACTCTTCGAGTCATTAATATAGAACCCAATTCTTGAATTAGTTTTGATCCTAAATATAAGACTCATTTTTCATATTTATCAATTTTCTTTAAATTATCTCTATGGATACTCCCTCAACCATAATCAAATAGAAGAGGGAGATGGGGTATTAAAAAAGATGATTATGATGTTTTAGGAAAAATGTGTCACTTTTCTTATAATTAACTAACTTACCTAACTTTTTTAATTTAATTAAATTAGTTAAATGTATCTCATATTAAAAACAATAGGAGTATAATATTAAAATTTTGTAACTTTAATAATTTGTTCGGCATATAAAGTTAATCATTCTTTCGATTGCGAAGGGAGGAAGTCAAATCATTAATCATCCCCCGTTTCGTGAACAATCCGCGGGCAGCGTCACATGCAAATCGAGACTTTTTTAAAACGGTTAATTAATACTCGACAATAACTTAATGAGTTTAGGAGAATATATTTATCTCCTCAATATATTTTTTTTGGGTTAACACTCGAGATGTGTTTTAATCACGGCTTGCTGTTTCATACTTTCACGGCAAAAATGTTCGCAAAAACAGCAATATAATAATTAATAAATAATAGTAAGTGGATAGAATATAAAAAGCATATACATCAAGCGCGTTGGTTTTCACGAAGACTTTGGTTACATTTTACGAAAGCATGTTTTTTAAAACGCAAAGGCATTTCTGCTTCGCTGGGAACAAAGCACATTTGTGTCTTAACCAAGGTGGGAGGAAAAGTTTAGAGGAAATAGTAGTTTTCCCCGCTGTAATTCCCGCTCTAATCAGTGTTATATGATTTTCACCGTTGTAACTCACAACCAAATTAATCCGCTCAGCCACGCTCATAAGTACAGTTTTTTGTTCTAAACTAGTTTTTATATTTATGTGATTGGAAAAAGTATAACAAAATGTCTCTTTCGATTTATTTTTAAACATGATAAAAGATAAATTTTACAAATATGAAATATTTTTCAGATATCTTTAGTTAAAAATATCCTGCTAATATCTATTTTTATGTAATTTTATTGTGAGTGGGGGAAAAATTATAAATAACGATAAGAATACTGTATGTTACTATGACATGCCCATTTTCTATATTTTTCCTCCTTATCCAAGTAGAAAGAGTGGGATATTATTTACAGTATTTTCTTTTCCATTTTTTTTTTTCTCTCTCGTTTTCTCCTCCCAAATTTATTTGGCTCGTTCTCGCTTCACCTCCCCTCTTATAGTGACCGCCACGCATATAAAATTCATTTATTCCTCGTGCTGACAACAAATTGAAAATCGAAACAGATAATGGGGACTAAATTATCAGTTTCGTTTAGAAGAAGTATGACACTAACATTTGACCCAAAAAAAAAAAAAAAAAGTATGGCACCAACATCAAACACCATGTTCCGGACAGCTAAGCCCCATGTTTACTTCCGTGTCTTAGATACAACCTGCGATTTTTTTGTTTTGTTTTTTTTCCGTGGCCAGAGTTTGCAGTCAACGGCTCATTATTATACCAAGGTTAAAAAAGAAAGTCACCAACTTGATTGAAGTGGTAAGCAACCTCACTTCTATAAAAAAAAAATACAAATTCAAATCTCATAAGGTATACTTATTGAGAGAAGCAGAAATCCTTTATACTCTAAATCTTAAAAAGAGAAACCATTGATCAAGTGGAAAAAAACAAAAAGCCGCAGCAGTTTGTCATTTGTCGGGCTGCCATTTTCTCTAAGACATGCATAAGATAAATTGCAAGCACACCCTAACCTTAATATGGTTGAACTTTAAGGGTAATTAGGTGAACGAGGAGGCTTATATGACTTTATTACTAGTTTTTATTTTATGTTATCATTTAATTATATTACAAAATAAATCACACGTCACCTCTGGTCCTGATTATAAGAGCTAGTTGACTAATTTGAGAAGATTAAAGAAGTAAGTTAAGTTAGTTATTTGTCCTAAATAGGTGTTGTCTTTCCTAAAATATCCTTTCTAATCAAGTGTATCGACTAGAACTATCATTGTTAGAAGGGCTACCTTAGAAAAAATGTATAAATATGAGAGACAAAGTATATTGGGATCTTATATTTAGCACCAAAATAAAAATCAAACAAGGTCTTATATTAAGGACCGGTGGTGGTATTTAGAATCAGAGGAGTATTAAACACTAAAAACATATAACCTCCAACTCTTAATATAAGAGTTTGTTTGATTTTTATTTTGGTCCTAAATAAGACTCCCAATCTATTTTGTCCTCATATTTATTCATTTTTTTACAAAATAATTTTTGTAATAATGATAGTTTTAACTAATACACTCGGTTAGTAAGGATATTTTAGGAAAGACGGCATCAACTTATTATAAATGACTACCTTAACAATTTTTCTTACTCTATTTAAATCAGTCAACAAATTTTTATACTACATCCGATCCTTAATATAAGACCATGTTTGACTTTTATTTTGGTCTTAAATATAAGACCCTAATCCACTTTGTCTCTCATATTTATATATTTTTTTCCAAGGTAGTCATTCTAATAATAATAGTTTTAGTCAATATACTTGATTAGCAAGGATATTTTAGGAAAGACAACACTTATTTAGGACAAATAACTAACTCAACTTACTTTCTTAATTTCTTCAAATTAGTCAATTAGCTCTTATAATTAGGACAGGAGGTACTATTAAAAACTGGAGCTAGTACTATTCAACGTAAAATTCATCTTAGATTCCCAAAAAAAAATGCAATATTTGTCACGGTCTTTATTTCATGTCGCCTGTAGTTCATACTTCATATACATGCGGTAAAACGAGTAGCGTCTCGTGTGGATGTTTTCTCTCTCTCTGCTGAGACGGTGACAATTTCTTTCCTTCTTTTTTTTTTTGAGCAAAAAGACGGTGACAATTTCTAAGCAAGTAAAAACAAAGCGAACCGGCTCGGCTCCACCCTCCGCTGATGCCCCCAGATTGCCAAACATATGAAAATACTCCACTAAACAATTT